GTACAGATACATAAGACAGGATTCATTGGAGGAATTGGCTCATGTGCTGATGGAACTGAGAAGCCCCACATCAGGCCACCTGCAAGCTGGAGACTCTGGGATGTGGTTGGTGTAGATCAGTCCAACTCCAAAGGCCTTAAAGGCAGGGAAGCAAAGAGGTAACTTGGTCTGAGGCTGAAAGCCTGAGAATACTACTGATTCTTCTGGTAAAATCAGAGCCATGAGTTCTGATGTCCAAGGCAACAAAAAAGTCTTATCTTGCTCCTTCTTAAAGGAGACCCGTTTGTCTTCTGTATTTGATCTCTCTGGACTTCTCCTTGATCCACCCTCACAGAGGGTATTCCTTAGCCCAGTCAGGTTGACACCCTAAACAACTCCATGTGTGACAGCAAAATGGATTAATTTTGGCAAATCATACAAAGGAACACAATATAGCAATGGAAATGAGCAAGCAGTTGCTATACACACTAATATGGAGGAATTTACAAACGTGTTATGGAGAAGAGTAAAAAGAAAAAGCCAAACACAAAATAATGGATATAAAGTGGGAAAACAATGTCTACTGTGGTGACATCAGAACAGTGATTACTCATGGAGAAGGGGATTAGCAACTTACAAGGGGTCTGGCGTGTTCGGAATTCTGCAAATGGTCTAATTCTTGACATGAGTAATATGACATTTTTCAAAATTTATGAATCTGTACTTATGTTTATTTTACTCCTCTATGTCTGTCACACTCCATAATATGGTGTATTTATTCTTTTAGTTAGAAAAGAAACTAAGAAGATACGGACGGTGTTGGTTAACTCATCTTTCTTTAACATGCCCAACTGTTTCTCAATAGACGTGCAGTATTATGATCGTGGACCTTAAACTACACATGCAAGACTCATTATGGATTTACTCTTTAATGTTTCATCTGGCTTTCAAACTCCCTGAAAGTAAAAAGCATGTCTTTAAATATTTTCATGTCTTACCTTATGGGGCAGTCTGTTTTTCTCCTTCCTTTCCTTTCTCTCTCTCTTTCATTGCCAGAGGGTATCTGTGCTCACCAGAGAGAGAGAGGAAGAGAGAGAGAGAGAGGGGAGTGTCAGAAAGCACTACCAATGGGATGCACTCATGCCATAATAACTTCTCCATTTCCCACCCTTTTGGGATTTGGGGCACTCATGCACATGAGCCCAGTATGTTTTTCAAGCCACCAGGGCTGGGATTTGAACTGTGGCTGTCCATATGGGAACTGGACTCGTGCACATGAGCCCAGTGTGTTTTTCCCACCAGGGCTGGGATTTGAACTGTGGCTGTCCATATGGGAACTGGCTTCCTCACAGAGCCACACCATTATTTTCCAAATTGCCAGAGAGTGCATGTGCTTTATATATATGTATATGTGTGTGTGTGTGTGTGTGTGTGTGTGTGTGTGTGTGTGTGTGTGTATTTATATATATATAATATAGAAGGCAAGAACAAACACGCTTGTGTGTCCACTCTGGGCTTCTCCCTCTCTTTCTTCTTATAAAACCACCTGGATTCGATCGTGGGGGTCCTACCCTGAAGACTTTATCTAATCCTAATCATCTCCTCAAAACTCTACCTCTTAATACCATAGCTGGATGAAGTTTCCACCTTCTTAAACCCAGCAAATGCTTACTAAAATAATATGTCACTCCACAGAGTTTGGAAATCTTACCAGATGTCTATCTTAAAGCCTGTTAGGTAAAGGCCAAAACAATGTGTAGATACTTTCTAAAATCAGAAGTTGTCAGGGTCAGCCTTGGAGTCCAGATCCCTCAAGGCTAATGGATTTACAGTCATTTCTCCTGGGATTCGGTGCCAGGAGATGCTTAATACGGTGGTTAAGACTCAGATTTTGTGGCCAGAATGACTTTGGTTTAATCCAAGCCTCTCCACTTCCTAGCTTCACGACCTTGGGGGAGTTACTTAGCTCTGCTAAGCCTCAATTTCAATTTTTGAAACTGAGATAATGATTGTTATGTCACAGGATTATTATGAGAGTTAAATGGGATCTTGAGTCCAAAGTGCTCAGGACAGAGCATACTAAGTAGTAAGCACTGCAAAAATAGGAGCTATTATTATCTTAAAGCGTTGTTTTGTGGAATAAACTTCGGAGACTGCACTGACACTTGTACTTACAAACATTCAGGAATATTTACAGCCACATGCAGCGGCATATGAAGGTTTCATGTCCCTCCATTTTAAGACCCATCTTTGCTACCTGGTCTTAACCACAGGTGGGAGTCAAGGACATTTGGAGCTGAATTTGAAGTAGGCAGACCTCTGTTAAGGAGTACCAGGGTGCTCTGGGGAGAGGAGAATGAGTAATGAGCCATGTAAGCAAATTGAGTTATTTAAAGAGACAAATTCTAGATCAAAGTAACTCTACAATGTAGGTCACTGGATTATTTACGATCTAGGATGCACAGGTGGTTGTATCCCCAGGTTGTACAACACACCTCACTCTTTTGACTGTGCTTCATTTGTCTCTATCTGCCTTTCCAGTGGGGTGGCCTTGAATTTGGGTCGGGAATTGGGGCACTTAAAGAGAGTGGCCCGTTTTTATCTCATGTGCTAAGATGTATGTCATGAGAATATTCCAAAATGTGGACTCTTCTCCAAAGTC